TCTACTACTTACTTATACCGGAGGTCTGTAGTATTGCAGAGTAACAGATGTTTTGTAGCTACACAGAATACCAATATATCTGCTGGTTATTTTATTTCTAAGCAGTACAAATAATCAGTGATTTGATCTCAGAACTTTCTGTATGTAAGCCTTCTTGTAGGTAGAAGTTTGGCTTGTGCTCTGAATATTTGAAATACTTTGCATGCATTTCATACTCCTATAAATATTGTATCAACTGAACATTTGCTTTGTTAAAAAACTGCTGAATATGGTGTATTAGTAGTGTTCACTGTAGTTAAATTCCTGTTGTTACGTTGCTGATGCAAGAACGTTAATAGATCAAGTTTGCTTTGCTGACATTTTTATGTTAGAAAACAGGAATTCTGGAACAATATTTAAATCTTTCGCTATACAGTACTTACACTTTGTGAATAAAATAAAAAACTGCAATGATTTAATTATTTGACATGAAATGCTATATTATGTTCAAGTGTTTCTCAACTAAAGAGTAAATTTAGCAATGTGAGAGGGCAATGCTTGGGTGGAAGAAATTCTCAGTGGCTTAAAATACTACTTTTTGGAATGGACTGTTTTGGAAATTAGGGGGAAAGATGCTATTCTCAACTAAGAAGTTCAAGGAGTTTTTTCAATGAGTAATTATAATGATGGCAGTAATTAATAGTGTAATTGATTTCAGCAACCTCAGGGAACAAATTATTCCAGAAGTAGTATTAAAATCCCCAAATTATTTGAAATATGTAGCAGTCAAGAAGATTTTAACTCCAAAGCGAAGAAATTAACTGTGTTTGAAACTACTGTTGACTTAAACTGACTGACAGAAGACATGCCTACCTCTAAACAACGGGTAAATAGGAGGCAAGGGTAAACCCATATCTTTGGGTTACACATATTCAAGAGCCAAGGAAAGGTAGAAGTTCAACCTGAAGACGGATCCATGAATTATGATACGTAACACACAGAATGGAAATTGTCAGTGAACTTATGTTGCCCAGTTTTCACTTATCACACTCCTAATGATAGCCCAAGCACTTGTAGCAGTGTGCAGTTACCAATGTCTTCCAATCGTTTGTGAAGTACAGGGTCTTGAAGAGAAAGATGGTGCTATGCAAAAGTGCTGCTGTGTTTCCCCACAGGATTTGTGCTCTGTGGAACCCTCATGGAAAGCTTACTTTCCCGTGGATAATGATTCATTACCAGCATAAAGATGTTAGTCAGGAATTGAATTCAAATCTCCTGAATGCTAAACTTACTCAGTGATAATCAAATACATCTTTTTCTTTGGACAGGTGCACCCACAACAAATTTACAAAGTCACATTTTAGATATCAAAAAATCAAAATACCTCTAAATAGTGGGTGTGGTGAAGTACCACAGCTGGCCCGTGTTGAGGCTCACCACACTTGCTGCTTTTGGAGAATACCTGAGAATGAGCTAAAAGCCTGATTCAAATTAGAAGGCACAGCTGTATCACCTCAGTGCTGAAGTGGAAATAACGTCCATGATATAGCTAAATAGCTCAGGTGCAGCAACCCAGCTATAGCTGGATGCTCTGGGCTTGCTGGGATCACAAGGGGTAAGTTCATGTCTTCCAAAATATGGCATAGACATCCCTTTAAATACAGATCTGGAAAGTCCCTGGTCAATCTGCAAATGCATTAAGATATTAAAAGTGCTAGGAATTTGATATAAAAGGGTTAATTTTCATAAACAGAAAAAGCAGTGTTTATCTGTATCTTACTTGATCTTGCCAATGCTCTTGAAAGACTTCCATAGTACTTCATACCTAGTACTTTTAGGAGATGCCTTTTGTGGGAGAGCATTTTGAACGTGAGTCAGGATTGAGGAGTATGAAACCTAGGACGATTAAGATAAATAAAGCCTTGGCCTTTTGAGAAAGCTGAAATAAACCTACTTTTCTGTGATGTCAGGAATAATTATTACTTATTGAGTCCTTTTCAGTTTCCTAGCTGAGAATCAGTTGGTCCTAAAGAAGAGACACACAAAGTTGTTAACTTAAAGAGATTTCAACTTCGTTAGTCATTGAAGGATGCATAGTTGTGGGTCAGGGTCATTACATTGGTTGCTATGTATCAGATGTTTCAGTTCCAGTTAGCTTTCCTCAATGTGAGTTATTTTTAATTTAGAAATTTATTTTGTCGTGACTTCTTTCAGTTATACTGTCAGTAAACCAATTTTAATTATGCTGTTCTTTTAGTATAAAGGCCACCTGATTTGCATAGTGCTCACTCCTGGTTAGGATATCATAATCTGACTGTGGGTTAATCATGTCTTGTGCTCTTAAATTAGAAAAGCTATTTTTCCTAGAATATACAATGTGGATAAAGGGAAAAAAAAAACAACCTTGGAGGAATTAATGTTCTAATACTGAAAACAGTTTTTGCAATAAAATATGTTTTTGCTGCATGGGAGGGAAATGATCTATGTAGTCTGTAAACCAGATCTCTGTTGCTTTATCAGTGTAAGTATGGATTAAGTCCCTCTGTTTCATACCTTCTGTATGAAACTTGAAGTATTATACATGGAAATTTAAAGTTTGATCTGCACCAGCTGTAGCTGAATCAATATCCTTTGGCTGGTGCTATTTCTTGAGGTTGTTCAGAAATACCTTTTAGTAAGCATTTTGCAGTAATCATTCTGCATTTAAAAACCTCATCAAAGAAAGGTTTTTGAAAATATATAGTATATACATGTGCCTCATTAATATACCTGAAAGTTTAAGCTAGATATCATGCTTTTGTTAAATCAGTGCTTCATACAGCTGTTGAAACATGGATATATACCTAGCGTACCTATGTATATATGGTATACATAGCATGTATCCATGAACTTTTCCCTTCATTTCCTCCCCCACATATAACACAAAACCAGCTGTATAAAAGATGATTTGTTTCAGGATTAGGCAGGATGGGAAATACTTCCAGAATGTTGGGATAGTACCAGTGAATATTAATGAGTGACTTCAACCACCAACCACTTTTTCCATTTTTGTGGGTAGTATCATGAGCTTTTGCCCTTACCTGTTATTTTCTACCAACTGCAATTCCAAACCCTGCAATTCTCTGCCTGTTTTGACTCGGTATTTTTTGCAGGTCATATACACTCCTTGTCTTTGTGAAATCAGTTGCTTACAGATTTCAAAAACACGTGGGACCCTATGAAAGAAAGTTTTACCCATTGAAGTTTTGTGTTACCACACAAGGGTAACTCTTCAGTTCTCTTCCTACCTCAGAATCCCTAGACACAGGATTTCCTCTTGCTTGGTAGGAACACCCCCAAAAAACCTTGTGCTGACCTAGAACTTGAATTCCTATGCACTCTTCAACTGGTGTTTCAGCATCTCCTATTATTCGTGGGCAGACCTAATTCTCTGAGCCATCTCTTATCTCCCAGGAGGGATGCAGATGCAACTCTGAGGACTAGCTGAGCTCAGTAGCTATTATTTACTCCTATCTCTGCTAGTTGGGGTTGTATGTGATGCATCATATTTTTGTTTACAATTTATACGTTTTATGCTTTTGTTTGATCTGTTTTTTGTTTAAAGAAGTATTGCTACTATAGCAACTGTTGCATCATGTGATATCTTTGATATTATCAAGATGCCAAATACTTGTTAAAGAATAAATCTGTATATCAGGTGAAATTCAGTGATTGTTATGATGTTTTTAAATAAGCATATTTTCAGTTAACATATTTGGCACTGCTATTTTTTTTTCAGTATTTTTTTTTTTCATTTCTGGTGATGAGTGTTTTGGTGGATAGGTTAGAGATTATAAGTACAGTAAAAAGAGAAATGGATATTATTTTTGTCTTGCTTATGGAGTTCAAAGCACTAATTGCTTTTTTTTATTCCCATGAGGAAAAACTGTTCGTACCTTCTTGGACATTTTGGCTTTCACTAAAGTGATACAAAACTTCCCATTGCCATTTGCCTCTGACAAGAAGGTAATCCTTGTTGATAGCCCACATTGAGATAATAAATAAATATTCTTGAAGTAAAGCTTGAAGTTATGCTTTTAGCTTAAAGATTGGAAACAAATATTACATATAAAACAAATACAAGTCAACATGGGTTGACTTTTCTTTTCCTCTAAACTCATAGGACAATACAAGCCATCGGGAGTGAGGAATCGGAGCACTGTTTGTCTGCCAGATTTTGTCTTGAGCTCAGTGTTCTTCACTAGATTTTGGAAGGGAGCTATAATTGACGTTGGATTGATAATTGTTTCTCTATCTGGATCTAGTTTGTGTGTGGGTTTTTGTTTTTTTTTAATGGAACGAGCAGTGGAGATTTCTCATCCTCTCTTCATACTTGATCAGCCAGTAAGCTGATGGCTTGATTTTTGGGCTGAGCGCCTTATGTACCTTTCCTCCATCTTTTCCTAGTTCTGCTTGACCTTTGAAATAGGTAATGATGACAGTATGGGCACAGTGCCTGAATGTGAGGCAGCAGGTGTGGTTGGTACCACATCGGGTATTCTCCTAAACTCTGGGATTTGTAGTCTTTACATAATTTCTTCCATTTCTTTTCAGATCATGGTGACTGTGAATTAATTACGTTTCGGACTGACTGCATTCTCTGCAGTATGTTTAGATTCTCAGGGTCATACCCAGTCCTTGCTGCAGGATACACGGCTGTGAAGATCAAAATGACAGTGGTGTTTTCTTCTTTTTCTTAGCATTTTTTAAGCTAGCAGAGCTGGAATTCCAAGTTCTTGCCTGCTGCTGCCTGTAGGACTTTTAGAATAGCCATAGAGCATTCAGAGCAGATAGCAGAAATAACAAGTGTTCCTGGAGATCAGTGTTGCTGAAGCCTAGGGACAACGATATAAAAGTTTTATAAAAAAACCACAAATATCAAAGGACAAGAGAACATAATAAGCTATTAAGACTATAGATTTCTACGAATGCAGATATAAAAGAATTCTGCTAAAATTACACTGTTTGCAGTTTTCCGATTGATGGAGAAGACACTGTTATTGGCGTACTCTCAACAAGTGTTATGTGAGTTGAGCAATATTCATGCAAAGACTTGTTATATTTAGGAGCTAATAGGAGTTGCCGTTGGTCATCTGAATGAATTTTTGTTTATTGCAAACTGTACTGAGAGTTCAGTTTCACCTTCTTTGTATGGGTTTGCAATAACAGTACTGCTCAAGGCTGATGAAACTCTTTGCTAGGATACCTTGAAACTTGTTTTGGCCTCTGGATTATAGGAGTCTGGCTATTAGATCTTTACACTGTAGAAATTTTCAGTATTGAAATGTATCCTAATTTTGTTCTAAAATAAGGATCCCGTAATGGAATGAGAGGCGTCTTGATGACTTGTAATATTTGTAGAAAGACTTCTACAAAGTTCACTTGCAGTTACTGTATCTGTTTCTGTTACCTTACTTTTCTAATTTGCTATCCTTGTTAGGCAATAGGTTTGATTATAAGAATGGGGCAGGTTTTCCAGGCAAATTCTCTCTATATTTTTCTATGTCTATTTGAATGCAGCTGTGCTCTCCTACCTAATGTAGCATGAGGGTAGCTGCCGGCTGCTAACTCCCTGGATTCTGAAGTTCGTCACAGCTGGAAGCTGGGCTTGTTGTTTACCCAATTCAAAGAGTAACTATTATTTACTGAAGAGGTAGCTGCTTCTAGAAACTGCAGTTTTTAAAGAAAATCTACCTAAATTTGCATGATGTTTATTGTAGCAAGTACTGCTTTAATCTTTGCCTAAATGAAAAGCTCCTGACTTTGCCCTTTGAATTTGAGAATAGCAAGAAGCTCTGGAAGTTTCCAAACTCTTCCTCCTAAGAATCCCAGTCCCTGGTAACTGATTATATTCTTTGTCACTAGTTTGCTGTGAAATATATCCATCATGACAATAGTGATGAATACAGATAACAGAAGACTCTGTCCAGGTTTTATTTTAAATCTCGCGTGGTCACAGAGATTTCAGACACTTACAGATTTTATACCTGATAGAAAATTACCATTAAAGTTAATTACTGCAGTAAATACAAATCCTGGGCACTTGCTGGAGACTCCAGGAGTTTAAGCTATGAAGAATTAGAATAAAATAGCTATGCGTTACAGCCTATGAGAAAAAATAAGTGACAAAATAAGACCTACAGTCTGAGGAAATGTCTTTACTAAGTTACTTTTGCCTTTGCTTGTCTTATCTAACCTTTTTTTCAAAGGAGAATCTGATCTCATTAGGTGTAATGTGCAGGATGTAGTTCAGGTAATTCTCTTCTTTCCCTTTCAGTTTGTTTCAGATTGAAGTACTGTTTCCCTTCCCTACAAGGTTCTGTCATACATCTTTGCCTTCAGTCAGGAAAATCTACTTAGGGCTCCCCAGTTGTGAGGAAAGTGTCTCCTTATTGGCCCGAGGACGTAAGGCACAGTATAACAGTTCTCTCCATCTGAAGATGGTAATGTGATCTCAGCAACACACTCTGCATCCGCTGAATGGTCAACCGTGAAGCCATGTTTTATAATCTAGTAATACAGCAATGCAGGCTCTTTTTTGGCCAGTGGTCTGTCCTTTTCTTTATCACCCAAGAAGAATGTGCTGGAAGGGACATAAGGCTGTTGTGCTACGTAATAATGTCAAGTTCAAAGACTGCAGTTTTGCATGTTTAGAGATTAACTGAAGGTAATATACCTCAAAATATAACAGCAGCACATTCTGAATATTCAAAGTACCGTGTAATAAAGAACATACAAGGAGAGATTAATATTATTAAATGACTATGAATTATAGGCTATTTGATGATTTTATTCTCATTCTGGAATGGCTACATTAGGCCAGGAGGAGCAGATGGAAACTTTTTGCTAGGACACAGTTACTTGACAGCTTCCTTCTGCATTATGTAAAGACTCCATTGGCAGATACTCTGATTTGTCAGTTAGGTGGAAAGGGAGATGTAGCTCTGTCTTCTGCTTGCGTTTCCTACACTGTCTTATGGTGGCAGTATTATGAACGTAATCTTTTCTAGTTTCTTCATCTTTATCTAAGCAGTGTGTCCCAGCTATCTCTTCAGAAAAACAAGAAGCCTATTACTTTTAGCTGAGACTTACAAGTGAGCATTTACCAGGACAAGGTCAATATTTTTACTCCTCTACTCAGTTGACTCCCTGCCTGCATTCTTTCATTTTGGTCCCTGGCAGCTCACACATTCTTGGTGGAGATCTGCAGGTTTTCCCTGACTTTTCTTTTCTATCCTTGATTCCACGTCTTGCATTACAAACGATTAACGAGTACCTGCGACAGGTATATGGGGGCTCTTAATCAAAGTGGCATTGAACTGAAACTAAGGGTATGGTTTTCCTGTGGCTGCTGTTCCGAATTACAGGTTACATGATGCATAGGTACGAATTGTATTAATTGACATGGTCATGGCTATAGAGATACACAGATGGCCCATCCAGGTCTAAGTTTGCCTTTGGTCTTACCAGCCTTCAAACAAATTGTATCAGCATGCTGGTAAAAAACAGCTAGCTGAAAATATCCTAAGTAGCAATTTTACATTTAAAGAAAACAATGTATATGCCTCAAATTGCTATCTGTGGTTAATTATTCAGTCTAAAACAAATAACCTTGAGGTTGCAAATAATAATTTCGCTAAGAATAATAGCATGCATTATTTAATATCTGACTTTTTGGATTATGATAAAGTAAGAAAAGCTCTAAATTCTCTTTGTTCTGTTGTAGTACTTCGCAAAGAGAGTAAGTTTCAAATTTCTTCCCTGGGAAGTCTGGGGATTTATATGATGAGTGTTGACCTGGATATACATATTTTTTAATCTGAGATTTATATACCTCTGAAAATATGGATATATAATAGAAAGCCTGACAGACACTTTAACTGTGGTGTCACTAATACGTAATTTGTTACCTCAGCAAAGGTGTTTTGCCTCAAGAGGTGGAATACATTTATGTATGGAAAGGTCAGTTTTAATTAATAAGCTGTTTTCATCATTCAGAGCCAATATGAATTGCTTGTAACATTTGTGTGAAATAGTTTTCAATATAAAAATAAAACAAATTGAGCTTTATGTCACATTTATCATCCCCCATAACCCATTTAAATGTCAAAAAATCAGTACAGACCAAAAGTCTATTTCTAGAAGCCTTAGTAGCCCTATTTATCAGAGTGAAATAAGATATTATCATCCCATTATTCCATCACATGCCTTCTGCACTTGAAGACATAGACATTTCTTCCAGTTTTCTGTAACACAGAAAATAGTTTTTCTGTTGTTAAATATTTGTTCTCCAAGCAGTAAGTAGTGAAGAAAATGCTGAGCCAATTTCAGAACAATGATCAGCTAGTTATATTATTGTGTATTCTTTCACTGTATTATAATATTAATGTATAATATAATATACAAATATTAACGTACTTTCTTGTACATTTCTCAGATGAAAAAAATCACTGTGTTCTATCTCTATTTGGAAACTTTTTTTTAGCATACTGCAATTTGTAAAACAGTATAATTTGCCTGGAAGGACAAAGCTTTTAATATATACACTATCAATACATTTTGGCAAAAATCATGCTGCTATATAGAAAATTTATGTCCTTGTATATTTTATTATGAAATAAACCCCACATTTTAAAACTTTTTTCCTTTATTTAAGTTCTTTTTCTGAGTTTTGTTTCCTAAGCAAGCAAGGCTCAGATAATCTTGTGCTTCCGTGGGTATATATCTCTTCATTCTAATACTTTTCAAATTTCAAATGTGAGTGGGACTTCACAGTCTCAAAGGTTCTAAGTTCATTTAAGATGCATGAAAATAGGCAGTGGGATAGAGGAAAAAGATCCCATTAATGACCATAGTGAGGAAGATACTGCTGAGGATTATGATAAAGGAAGATGCTGCTGAAGAGTTCAATTCTGGGGAATCCATACAGAATATAGGTCTAGAGAGCTCCAGTCAAAATAAGTGGATCTAGCTGAACGTCAGACTATTGTGTACAAGAGTGTTCAGCCACAGGACATGCATGGGCAAGAAACAAGGCTGTGTGGCTTGTTATGTAGAGAAGCTCTAATCTATAATGCCATTATTATATCCAAATCCTTAAATAAACTTTGAAAAGAAATGTTCATTTACTGGTGCATATGTTAAATGGTGCAAATTTCATGTTATGTAGAAAAATATGGGGGAATATCCTTCTACTGTTTTTAATAGTTTTTTTGTTTTATGCTTATTTATTTATTTATTTATTTATTATTTTACTGCAACAGGTAGTGCCATAGGAAGTGATGATATCATAGCAGGGAACGTGAGCAAGTATGCTGTTCTCCCAGCTGGTTATTGTGGACAGCTCAAAAAAGGACATCTTATATTTGATGCCTGTTTTGAAAGTGGTAAGCACTTTTAGCATTATTTTATGTAATGGAGTTGTCAATATATTAATGCCCTTAACTATAGCACTCATCTTCATAAAAAGTGTATTAATTATAAAGAAGACTTGCATTAAATACTGCTTAACTCACTGATTCACTTCAGTCAGAGTATGACGTAAAATCAGACTATTCGAATGTAAAGAAGGGTTGTGAAGTTTGTTATTGCCTACAATGTACATTTCATCAGGTCCATCTCTTACCACATGTAGATACATAACTGGATTTTATTCTATTATATATAGTATTTGTAGACCACTAATCAAAGATGTAGTATTTAAAATACGTTATTTTGAAATTCAGTTTGGAAGTTTATTGTGGAAGTTAACCTCAAAGTGCCAAGCCCATCCGTGCATAGTTAGAAGATATTACAAACACGTATGTGCTGTCTTTAAATATATTTTTTTGTGGTTCTTGTGGCCTAATTCTGCACTTTTGACGTTATGAAAGCTCTGCCTCTGAGCTCAATAGAGGCAGAATTAAACTTTAGGAAGCTACTACAAATTGAAAGAGAAATTATTTTTACAAGAGTTATGGTTAGCATATTAATTTAAAGAATATTTTTATTCATGTATGTTTACATGTGTGTGGAGTATGTAGGTAAATAAATAAATATATATGAATATGTTGCATTGTTTAAATTTTTATGTTACTTATATATGTGTCTCCAGATTTTTAGCTTAAATCTATTATTATTGGCTTACAGACCTACAGAGCACTGTTAAACACCATATGTACAAAAGGCATTTGGCAGGATCAACTATAGTTTTCAGCATGGTTTATGTGAGAGGTGCTGGTAATGCCAAAACTGCTACAGTGTCTTGTAAAATCAGCTTTTTATGGAGAGATACATCCCTCAGGGTAGAATACTGGCTGCCAGTTCCTGGATAAATATTAAATTACGTTATTTAAATCCTTTGATTACATTAGGTAAAAGGTGTAAATGATGAATAATAAAGACTATCTTATTTTTAAGGTATGGCTCTGAGGGTTCAGACAATAGTTATGTATTTTTAAAAATAGTCTGGATGCGGTTTCATAGTATATATGGTTTTATGACTTTTTGTATCAGAAAATGGCTTATGAAATTAATCAGTTAGCCAAGCTGAGAAATTTATTGTGTAAAGCTGCTCTCCAATGAAAAGGATCATTAGCAGCCATCAAATTATTTGCGAAGTAATGTGAATCATTGCATGATGCTTTAATTCCAGTTTTTGAACAATAGAATTAATTATATTTTTGAATTAAAACACTTATTCAGTTCAAAGGCAATGTTCAAACTTTATATACTTTGTCAGTAATAGCATGTGATAGAGGCAGATGCTATTTGAAATACTGTGTTTATTTACATTGTAGCATGATGAGGCTGTGATGGTTTTTTGCATATTCAGACACCTCCAAAATACAAATATGAGTAAAATAATACCTTCATTTACTTTCTCATGTAATGTATTAGTAAGAATGATGATAATATTGTGTACACTTTGTATGTAAATTCACTTTATCTTTTGTTATATGTCAGCCAAGTAATTGCTTAGAGCACCTTAACTGGTCAAAGCAAATTCCCTGATTATTGGATATTTTATGAAATTGTTATTAATGCTAAAATCTATCCCCTCCAATTATGCAATCAGTAGTATACAACATTTATACAGTATTGTATTGATGCTCTTTGAGTACCACCTTAAAATCGGTAATATACTATTGTAATTGCCCTTTTCAAAGAACAGATTATAAAAATGATCCCAGCTGGAGTACTGCATCCAGCTCTGGGATCCCCACGACAAGAAATACGTGGACCTGCTAGAGTGGTCCAGAAGAGGGCCATGAAAGTGGTTAGAGGGCTGGAACACCTCTCCTATGAAGAAAGGCTGAGAGAAGTGGAGTTCTTCAGCCCAGATAAGAGAAGGTTCTGGGCAGGCGTTATTGCAGCCTTTCAGTATATAAAAGGGGCTTATAAGAAAGATGGAGAAAGACTTTTTACCAAGGGCTGTAGGAATGGGACGAGGCCTGATGGTTTTAAACTGAAAGAGGGTAGATTTAGATTGGATATAAGGAAGAAATCTTTTACAATGAGGGTGGTGAGACACTGGCATAGGTCGCCCAGAGAAATTGCGGATGCCCCATCGTCGGAAGTGTTCAAGGTCAGGTTGGATGACGCTTTGAGCAACCTGATCTAGTGAAAGATGTCCCTGCCAGTAGCAGGGGGGATGGACTAGGTGATCTTCAAGGTCCCTTCCAACCCAAACCATTCTATGATGCTGTGATTTTATGAAAACAAGTCACATTAATTTTTAATCGTTTCAAGTTAGTGTTATCTTATAGACCTAGATACACCTGAAGGAAATAAGCTTTTGGGATAGGATTTATAGATTTTTCTGGGACTTGTACTTTTCCTGTTATTATGATGTTGTAAGTAAACATGAGTATGCCATTGAAATCTAAGATCCCTCATACTTAAGAGGTATTAAAGGTTCTTTACAGTTAAAGTTTTGTAAGGATTTATTGTTTTAAAAATAAACACAATGCAATTAAACACAGTAGTTACACTATACAGTGATTACAACCCTATATCTAATGTAACTTTCGTAGAACTTTTGACATTGGTGGTTTATATAACATTTTCAGTACAAAGGATCTTGGTCTTAATGAAGGTATGTTAGGATGGGGCAAAACTGTCTGGAAAGTGGTACCCATGAAATATTTGTTGATGATTTGCTTTCAAAACAGAAGTTGTGTTAAATGTGATTCTGTAAGTGGCTTTCCTCACTTTGGCTGTGTTCTGTATTTTCTTGAAAGATCTGGTTGATAGAACTGAAGGTTCCCTTCTAGACCTATTTTTCAATGACTGTGATTTTATATTGCATAAATGAAAGTAAATACCCTTCAGAACGGAGAAAGTGTATTAAACTTATAGAAAGCAGGAAAAAGATTAACACATACGGAAGAAATGCCATTTAATATGCTTTCATTTTTGTAATGGCTATCATTATTGTATTAAATAGCGTTGACAAGTATGAATTTTTTTGAGACAAAGAGGTGTGTTTTCATGTAGTCTGAAAACCAATGTCCAGTTTGCTATTTTGAAGTGCCTTGCTTTCAAAAAATCATAAAAATACAATTGAAAAGCTGTCCTGGTTTGAATGACACAGGACTAATTTCTCCTCTGATGCTTGGAGAAACTGTACTTTTAGAAGTCTCTGGTGTCTGAATTTGTGAAAATATTCACTTTATTGCCAGCTATGGTATGTGGGTTTCAAGTTCTCAGTGTTTTTGAGCTTGCCAGGTGCAGGGATGAGGAGGAGCGAGACCCGGGCATTTGACCCGAGCTGGTCAATAGGATTTTTTCATACCATGAATGTTACATTCAATATAATTTAGACAGTTTGCTGAGGAGTTCTCTCTCCCTTGATGGCTAGAATCCTGAGAACTTCCTGCTCCAGTGCCGGACCACTGAGGCCTTCCCTTCCTCTCGCAGCCGTAGCGCTTGCAGTGTTTGACATTTACTGTCCACTGCTGGGCGTGCAAAGCTTCCTAAAATATAATTGGCCAAGTATAATGCTTGTATGTTTTATATTGATATCAATATTGGTTCTTTAGTGTTACTAATGTTAATTATTTAGTCTTATTCTATTAAATCAGTTTATATTTCAACCCTTGGGTTGTTGTGGGTTCCTCAAACCATAACAAATGGACACTGGGATTTCTTTTTAGTCCACTCTATTGTTCAGAGGTAAAATATGCTGGTTTTGCTATTCCCGACAGATGCTTTTCAGAGACTTTTAGTGAGGAAAGTTTCAATAAGAAAGCAGCAATCCATTCTAACGCTGCAATTTGTTCAATGTAAGAAACACTTTCTTTCTATGTAGAAATGTTCTTACCCAAAATGCATTAATTCTTGTCCAGTCCACAGAAAGCAGATTATTCCTTTTTTCTTTGACTTAATGGAAAACTGCTATCATATCTTTCGTTGGCCTTTCTCTCCCCAGGTTAAGTAACTGCAATTTTTTAAAATAGTTCCTTAGTGGTCACATTTTCCAAATTTTCTATCATTCCTTATTTCCTCTGGCCTCTTTCCAGCTATTCCATGCCTTTCTTGACAGGCAACAGTCCAAGGTAAACATGATACTCGGATAAGCTGGTGCCAATACTATGCAGAGTTTATTGCATGACATGCCTTGCAATCTATTTACTTCTGCTATGGGACAGTCCAATCTTTGTCACAATACCATGGCACTGTTGACTTCTATAAAATTTATGATCCCTTATACTGCCTGGATCCTTTTCAGAAGAAGAGCTTCCTAACCAGTTTGTAGCTTGCGCTTAACTTACCCTTAATGAACCTAATACTAGTGAAAGAATCATTGCTGTAAAATAAACATAGTTATTGAAAGCGAAGAATGGCGGTCAAACCCTTTATCTTATAAATAACAGACAGAGGAGTGAAGGAGAGAGAGAGAATTATCAACTTGCAAGTATGTCAGGAATTTGAATTTGTGTTTCTCATAATTCAAGCTAGTGTTCTAACTGGAATCTTCCTTGTTATCTTGATTAATATTTAAGCATATATACAGCCAAGAGAAACTTTTTTTACATTAATTTGTCATTAGCATAGAAGAAACTGATGAAAATTCAGATTTCCTGCATACCACAACATAGTTTTTGGATAATGTCAATTTGCACAAGAAACATGAGTTAGGGAAAAAGGGAAGCACAGTTACCTACACGTAGAACCAATTTAAAGGAAATAAATGTCACATTTGAAATGTATACACTTGGTCAGTTGTAATTCTTTTCCTATTATTCATTAATGTATTAAATTTTTAACACAGTTTCAGAATAGCAGCAATGCAGTGCTGTACAAATGTTCGCTTCTCATCCTATCCGTTCTGGCAAAACTGGGAATTTTGCAGAATGTAGTGATTCAGGGGAAACGATGTATTCATTCTTGCTATACAAAGAAG